AAGAAGAAGGGATATAACACTCCACCATGGTGTGGAGGAGGCTGGTGTGGCTTGGGCAGAGGGGAGGAAGGTGGACTGGAAAGGTGGGTGGGGGCCAGGCCACACAGCCCTGTAGGACATCAGAGTTGAGGTATTAGTCTTTATCTGTGGATAAAGTATTTTTACTACCTGACAGGCATTTAAATATAAGGACACATTTCCTTCATGAGAAGTGGGTGCTTGAGTTAGGTTGTAAAGGGTTCTTTCTCCTGTTCTTTTATGGAGCTTAAACCATGCCACAAGGAAAAGTTTGGGATCATAGCACACATAAGGCTGGTTGGATTACAAATTGAATAGGTAGTTTGATTATATATGCAAGTTCCTAGGGAAGCTCCTAAACACTCATAATGTGTTTGGTATAGTAAAGTTTTAACTTGTGTATTCCCTATCCATGTAGTGTGGGTGCACATAGGACACCCATTTAGGACTTCCCCCCCTTACTAGATTTGCCACAAGGGCTAACATGAGCAAAATGAAAGGCCACTTTTTTACACTAAAACTGGACAAGGAGTGCTTTTTCTGGGAGCAATGCTTTGCAGCAATGACAAGGCAGTAACAGGATAGTTAATATTACTAAAGTAACAACAGGGCTTAAGATTTTGCTTAAGGTTTTAGTTTACTTATCCGGTGGAGTTTCCTCAAGCTTCGGCCATGCATTGACTCGTCAGCTTCTGGTTGTGTGACTAGAGCAGGGCTTGACGACTTCTCAGGGTTGTCTGCGTCTGGGACTGGACTGGGCTGGTCCTGGTCCTTGTCCTTGTTGATGACATGTCTCAAGGTTAGCCTGGTGGGTTGCTTGGATCTGGCTGACTCTTTCACTTGTTTTGGGCTGCTGGCTTTAACCAGCTGTGATGAATCCAGGGAAGAACTTTAGCAATTTTAACAGCGGTAGGGGTGGATAAGATTACAATAAAAGGGTCATCCCATGTAGGGCTCGTTGTGGTTGGGTTCCATTTCTTTTTATTTATTTATTTATTTTTGAGATGGAGTTTTGCTCTTGTTGCCCAGGCTAGAGTGCAATGGGGTGATCTCCCCTCACCCATCCTCCGTCTCACAGGTTCAAGTAGTTCTGCCTCAGCCTCCTGAGTAGCTGGGATTACAGTCATGCACCACTGTGCCCAACTAATTTTGTATTTTTAGTAGAGATGGGGTTTCTCCATGTTGGTCAGGCTGGTCTCGAACTCCCGACCTCAGGTGATCCGCCCGCCTTGGCCTCTCAGAATGCTGGGATTATAGGCATGAGCCACCATACCTGGCCTAGGTGCCACTTCTTAACTCAGAGTATCCCAGTTTAAGTTAATGGATTGGAGTTGTTAAACTTACAGGTGTTTTTTTCTGTACCCAGCTTTGTACTTGCTCCAAGGCTTTACCTAGGGCCTGCTTTTTTTTTTTAATGTTTATCTTTTTTATTAAGCTCTTTTTTATCTGTGTTAGAAGGGGGTGGTCTCCCAAACAAAACCTTAAAAGGAGAAAATCTGGTCTGTTTGGTTGGGGTGGATTTGACTCGGAGGAGGACCACGGGCAAGACTTGATCCTGCTGTAAGTGGGTTGCCTGACAGATTTTTTTTTTTCTTGAGATGGAGTTTTACTCTTGTTGCCCAGGCTGGAGTGCAATGTCACAATCTGGGCTCACTGCAACCTCCACCTCCCGGGTTTAAGCCATTCTCCTGCGTCAGCCTCCTGAGTAGTTGGGATGACAGGCATGCGCCACCACACCTAGCTAATTTTGTATTTTTAGTAGAGACGGGGTTTCTGCGTGTTGGTCAGGCTGGTCTTGGACTCCTGACCTCAGGTGATCCGCTTGCCTCGGCCTCCCAAAGTGCTGGGATTATAGGCGTGCGTCACCGTGCCTGGCCATCCTGACAGAACTTCATTAGCAATTGTTTTAGTGTCCGGTTCATTTGCTCTACCTTCCCTGAACTCTGGGGACAGTAGGCAGTATGTAATTTTTAATTTATTTTTAACAGTTGAGAGAGATTTTGAACAATCTCAGCTATAAATGCTGGTTCATTGTTAGAACCTAGAGTTAGCGGCAGCTCAAACCTGGGGGTAATATTGTTAATAAGGCTCTGGTTACCTTTCTGGCCTTTTCAGTTCAAGTGGGGAATGCTTTAACCCACCTGGAGCAAGTACAAATACCAACATATACCGATAGCTTCCTGCTTGAGGCAATTCGGTAAAATCTACAAGTAAGTTTTCACAAGTTACTGCCCTTGTTCCTTGAATTCCTGGGGTCTGGGTTGGCCCTTGCCGTGGGTTGTTCTGAGCACAGGTTAAGCGTTGTTTACAGATGGCTCAGGAGGTGACACTGAGCCGTGGCACATAGAAGTGGCGCTCCACTCTGGTGTTTCTAGTGCTGTTTCCTCATATGAGTTCCTTGGTGGAACTGTTTTACACACCTGGGGGCTGTTACCTCAGGAATAGCTAATTTTCTGTCTGAGAACCTCTACCAGCCTTTTTTAGTATAAGCTCCATTCTCCTGAGCAAACCAGGCCCTCTCACTTGGAGAGTAATTTGGCTTCTCTTTAGGCAAGGGTTCTGGGAGGATGGGCTCGGTACATGCTGCCTTCCTAGCTGCTGTGCTGGAAGGCAGGGTATTTATTGCTGCACGCCTTGTTTCTGCATTTGCTTTTCTGTTTCCTCTTGCCTCTGGGGTCCCACCTTTTTGATGGCCTTGGCAATGTGTAACAGCTTTTTTCTTAGGTCCCCGTACTGCAACTAAAAGCTATAGGATTTATTCTGGGTACTTTTTACTTGTTCCTTGAGCAGTTAGGAGTCCTTTTTCCTTATATATGCTCCCATGTACATGTAGCATAGCAAAGGCATGCTTTGAATCAGTATATATGGTGGCTCCTTTATCCTTTGCTAACAGCAATGCCCATGTTAAAGCTCTAGCTATTAGCTCTACTCTTTGAGTGGAGGTTCCTGTTGGCAGGCTTTGGGCCTTTACCACTGAATTTAGAGTTACAACAGCATATCCTGCCTGTCTGACTCCTGTCACAAAGCTGCTACCATCTGTAAAGTAGTTGACATTTGATTTTGGAGGGGTCGAACTGTA